CAGGGTATTGCATCCTATGCCATAACTGCCCCATGTACATCAAATCACTGCTAGGCCCTCTGACAGCTACCGAAGCTGTATAATTTCTTGACATCATTCCATTAAAAGTGATGAACATGGCTTCCAATAAGGGGATAAATATATCCGTGTATTTCTGTGTCTGTATAGGATGTATTGGACGATTTCTTAAGGGACCGTAATATACAGGGGTACAGGTACTCCTAGAATGAGATCCTAATAGGTTGGACTTGATGGACTAATGTCTTTATTCAACCTCAAATACTATGTAACTATGTAACTATGTATAAGTTGTGATTAAAGCGATGTGTGCCAGGTGGATTAAATGCTATCTCCAACATACCAGCTGTACAGCTATCCTTTCACTTCTTGTGCTTCCCTTTTTTCTTTCATATTGCTGTGTCAGCTCTGATAAATAATTCATTTTCCTGCCACTCTTCTTTATTTGTTCTATTTGTCACCTTCAGATCCTTCTTATGTTCACCCCTTTATTCCTCTCAGTTCCCTCTTTAGCCATGTCCTTCAGATTTTCCATTGTTGGGCTGTTTTTTCATATTTCTTGGAAAAGCCTATTTTTCGTTGGCCCATCTATCCCCCTACCACACACATCACACACTATAGAAAAATGAAATTGTATGAACCACAGCAAGAAAACATCTTGCATATTAATTACAAAACATGCCCAGTTTAATGTGACTAACTATACCATAACCTGGATAAAGAAGAACCTTCACACACATACAAAGTAATCACTTCATTGCTAATAGTTAGCAGCTTTGTTTCATCATTTGTGTTACCCTGAATGTGCATAATCTGAATGAAGCTGTTTCAAAGAAAGTCATAAAGAAAAAACGTCAAGCCTTGTACTGTGGCATGAAACAGCTTTTGTCCCTTTTTTGGAGGTATTAAAGGAAACAGTCTTTAGGAAATTAACAATTTATCACATCTGGAATATCCTTATGTATATAATGTAAGGTGTATATTTGTAGAATTTTAATACCAAAAGATAAATGGGGTCAAAGATGACCCAATACAAATAGGAGAGCAAAAACTGGAAACCCAGCTACAAAACCATGAATATACTGCACCTATGGATCTGCCCCGACAAAAACGTATCCCATCATAGCTTTTAACTTTCCCTCATTTACAAGACTGTCCCTCTATTGCCACCAAATCCATCTGTCCCACTTCCCTCCTCAGTTATCCCTTTTTTTGTTCTGATGTGCAGGTCTATATAAAAATGTATCATTACCTCCAAAAGTGTTATACTACATTAAACCTTTATTCAAACTGTAAATGATTGCTTCTGCTATTTTGAAAAGCCAGTATCAAAGAAAACTAGTGATGAAAAAACTTGTGGGTCTAACCATTCATTATAAATGTATTCATTATATGGGGTCTGCATAACTGGGGACGTGGCGAGGGCGTGACCTTTGTCTCTAGACTTGCTAAAGGGCATTCTTCTTTCCCATCTCAGAAATCTGGGAAGTATGTCCCATGCACACACACCATCTCACCTACCCATTCACATGCTTGTCTTTTATCTCAACCACCACCATGCCCACAAGTGTAACTACATTCCATGTACACGAACTAAACAAACAAATCCACACACCAACCTAATACATATAACAACTCTCCCACAATAATACACACTTGCCATTACACAAAGGTTGAAATAATGTATTACTTAGGAGGTGCTTGGAACTATGTGGAGATACAGTAAAATGGTCCTATATCTATCAGTACTCTGACAACCCATACACACACATTTACATGCACATATAGCTACAGATCTGTTAATAACACATATACAGTTTTTTACCATTCTTCCCTACCTGCACACACTATGTGTATGTACAGGACATGCAGGAAAACTTGCCTCATCAGTTCAATCAATCAGTG